TGACAATGAAGGATGTTTTCTTTTGGACTGAAATTTGCTGGTCTGGTCTGGTCTGGTCTGGTCTGTTTAAGTCTGGTCTTGTCTAGTCTGGTCTGTTTAAGTCTGGTCTGGTCTGGTCTGGTCTGAACTGATCTAGTCTGGTAAACGTCTGGTCTCTGTGTATTTTATAACTACGGAAGTCTGGTCTGGTCTGGTCTGTTTAAGTCTGGTCTTGTCTGTTTAAATCTGATTTGGTCTAGTATGTTTAAGTCTGATCTGGGACTGAAAACAGTCTAAAAGAAAAACTACGAAGCCTGAGGGCTAGGAAACGCACAAATGTTGTTATATACTTATATTTATAGGTTGGAATGAGGAGTTTGTCTATTCACCCGGCGGTGTGGGAAATTCAAGTACTCCATACAAGGAAGAATACAAACGAACATAACAAACCTCCTCCTGGAACATATTTAGTCTCTAATAGACTAACACTCTATGTACGTAGTATACTACTAGTATCATTTTGTGAGTTGTCACTTTGTGTATTTATTTTTTTAATTTCCTAATTGTATTTGATTACTAATTGGATTTTTCCGGTAGATAATGAAATTGTATTAATTCATTATAAATTTGTAATCATTAAAGATAAAATTGAAGATTATTAAATTGTTTATTTATTATACAATTGATGATTAGAGAATGATTTATTTATTGTGTGGATATGTAAGATCGAACTAAAAATTTCAATTGAATTTTGAAATTGGGGATACTTATTAGTTTTATGTACAACGATCATATTTTTTATTAGTTTTATAATTTTATAGAAGTACTCCGTAACGTATTTTAATTCATACCAATATCGAAAATGTTTTTTAGAATGGACAATGAACATATTGTCAAAAAAGGAAAACAAAATGAACATTCACCAATTATGAAATTGAGCTCACGTTTGGCTCGATAGGTTTCCAGTGTTCAATTTTAACGCTCGATAAATATGTTCGAATGTCGGGGTTCAGACAATACTCATTAATAGATTCATGTTCGAATTATTCAATACATACTTGAATCTTTAACAATTATTAATAAATTTATACAATTGTACCAAAACTTTTAAATTTTATGACATATATAATTTAAACTAGATTTTAAATCAAGCACAAACTTGACACTACAAGAAATTTGATAAAACATGACGAAAAAAATTGTCATAAAAGCTTCATTTTTTGTCACTAAAACTCTTATATGACGATTTATTTTCGTCACAGTGATCGTCACCGTAGCTCCGTGGCAAAAGGTATATATGACAATATTGGGATTCGTCACTATATAATCATTTTTTGTGACACTTTTGTTCTTTGTCACCATTATTGATAACTTTCAGTGACGATGAATGTGTCATTTTTTATCAATAATTTTGTCATATAATTATGAATTTTGTCATCTATACTAGTGATAATAATTGACGAATCTTCAATTTGTCAATAAAATATAACTTTTAGTGACGTTGCACATTATACTCATACTAGCGGTGACACCAAAGTTGTCATAATCAAGTTACTTAGTTCGTCATTGTAAAGTAGTTATGATCACACATAAAGTGTCATAAAAAAAAAAAAAGGATACGAAAGTGTATATAAAATGACAATTATAAACATTTGTCCTCATTCAATAAAGATAAGATTACTAATCATTTGTCACAGCTTTGTACTGAATTATCATTAATAATATCATGAACTACAATATACACAATACAATTCGGAGGTTGAATCTGCTAATCTAACTAAAACAGTTAACAGCCCTCTTACTATGATTGAAAGAAATACTAACAAACTGAGGCTTCATCTTCCACCAATGCTAACAAACTGAGCTCTCATGCCCTGCACATCGTCCACCAGTATGTTGAACGAAGCAATTCAACATCATGATAAATGCGTTTTCTCTCCCTTATACCTTCAAAACTTGAACTGCACATGATTCAACATCAATACCATCTCCAACCTTGATCTAGCTAAAAGTTTCAGGTACTAGCTATAAGAATATCTGCTACCCTCGGGTGGAACATCTCACAAAGGAATAGCTCTTGCATATACAAAAATTGAGTCTAGGAAAACCCACACCAAGCCCCCTGTTTCTCTTCCTGACTCCATGAAACAACATTATTAAAATTATGTCATCCTTCTAGTAGCAGCTCCAGAATAATGTAGTGTCAACTACAAGAAATCAACAAGCCCAATGATACTATGATGCCCCAAATAACAGATGCAAATTGGCAAATAAGACATCAAATTGTAGAACCTAAGTAATGTCTCTCAAAAGACTTCGAAACTAAACATTCCAACAAAGGTGCACTATAAATCTAAGTAAGTGAACAGCAGAAGGTATAAAAAGGAGTGCCTTTACAGAAATAGTAAAGAAAGTAAAATATGCTCTTATAAGAACATATTTGATGAAATAGGGATTCATCTACAGTCACACAAGTCCCTGCTTTGTAAAAGAATAATAAAGTAGGTACACAAAACCCAATTAATAACTCAAAAATAGGCTTTCGTGAAACGAGTAATCCAATGAGAAAATCCCAAGTAAACAGGAAGACACCCCCTATCATAACTTATTAGTTAATATCAGTTAGTATATAGATGCTAAACTGTTAGTTAATATATACTATATAGATAGTAAACTGATTAGACAATGTATATAGATACTAAAGTTTTAGTTAATATAGAGACATTAACTCAACTTTTAGATATACATATACACACACATATATATATATATACTATTCAATTTAAAATTGATTAATTAATATCAGTTAATCAATAGATACTAAACTGTTAATTGTAGAAAATTAGATATTTAAAGTTTTACTAAACTGAGTTTTTGAATTAAATCAGTTGATATATAGATGTGGAGGTGTTTTCTACCAAACGGATTAGTATACTAGGTTGATTAGTATAGTCCTTTCACTAAAGATTTTGCCTTTCAAAAACCTTGTGCTGAATAACCATGCCTTCATCACCAGAACTTTGAAAACCTCATCAAAGGTATGTTTAATCAAAATCTTTACTGAAGTCAAACTCTCCAGTCTCCCACAACAAGCAAATCCTCACGTATGTCTCTGAAATGTAGGAATAATTCAGTTAATACTGAGTACTACGTATGAAATTTGAAAATCAAAAAAGTGAAATAGAAGATAAATCAGAAGTACCAATAGTAGAATAAAAGTTAAATAAGCACTTTGTCATCACAGTTCACCTCACAGTTAATCAATAGATACTAAACTGTTAAATGTAGAAAATTAGACATTTAAAGCGGCTGAAAACATGAAACAAGGAACCCATCCAACAGAACTTCACAATACAATCAATGACCAAACTGAAGAATTATAAACACAATTATATTAAAAGAAAGAGCAAAACGCAACTATAAATGTTACAGATAAGAGTCGACCTTGCTGGAGCTGTCGCACACTCTCTATCACTGACATGCCTTCACTGGAACTTCCTACAGAAGAATATGTGAAGCTAAGAAGTAGAAAGAACCGTAAGAGCGACGACATAGATGAAGCACTCTTATGGTGTTTCAGCTCTTGACCATCGCCTCGTGGTCTGTTTTTCTAACCACGACTTCCATTCGAACCCAGTTTCTCAGATTGGTTTTACAAGAAAGAGGTACGGCATAGCAGTTCGCAAACGGAGGAGCGGAAAAGTTGACATCAAAGATGTAGCAGCGGCGAAGAAGATTGTGCCCGTCTATCCGCTGCGCCATTTACCGATATCCCACTCATCAACGGCGCCCTTATATCAAAGAAGAAACAAGAAGAAGAGAAACTTACATAGTGAAGATGAGGCAATGAAACGATGGAGAATTGCTGGTGCGCCCAAATCTTAATTTTATGATTGAGAGTTTAGGGTTTTCTCAAAAAGCAATTAGGAGAAAGAGTTGAAAAAAAAGAGAGATTCCCTTCTAAAAAGTAGGAGTGGGCCGTGGAGAATAAGAGTTTACTGTGGGGATGTTTTGTACTCCTCAATTAATATGTAAGAGTTTCCTTCTCTTTTTTTTTTATGGTGTAAGAGTTTCCTTCTAAAAATCTAAAATTAAATTATTTTTTTTGAGTTAGTGTCATTACTATCTATCGATATTGTTAAGTATGGTTTCTATGGGATGGTTTCCGTCAACCAGACCAGATCAGACCTTTATAGTTATAAAATATACAGAGATCAGACGTTTATCAGACCAGATCAGTTCAGACTAGACCAAATCAGACCTCCAAATTTCAGTCCAAAAGAAAAAATCTTAAATCATAAATCAATAATATTTATATCTTGGTGTGGTCTTATGTCATACAACCGTCATCCCAAAAAAATTTGTCAATTTCATAAAATTGTATCATAATTTTAATTAGTACTCCGTATAATGTTATGAAATTTATAAACTTTGTACTTTATTATTACAAATATGAGGTCACAAGGTCATTCATTGATTTTTTCAGACTTTATTACAAAATAGAATGTTGTGTGCTAAAAAGTAAAATTATGACGCATTTAAATTCTTCGTCACAAAAGGAGAGAAAAAATGACGAAATAATATTGTCATTATTTTGTATGACAATTAATGACAAAATATGACTTTGTCATTGTATTTAAAAATTATGTGACGAAATTTATAGTCATTAATTGTTATAAAAAATGTCATCAAAAGATTTCCCACCAAAATTTTGGATCAATTTTTGGCGCTAAAACTTTGAGTGACAAATTTGATTTAATCGTCAAATTTTGTATCAATAAGTGACGATAAGTGAGAACTAAAGTGAGAAACAATGATATTGTCATAAAAAATACTTTTATAGTGACGAATTTTAGTTTTGTAACTATTACCGAACAAAATATGACAACTTTTTGTGTGTCACACAATATTTTGTCACAAAATGTGTGATTTCTTGTAGTGTGAATTCTCATTGGTTAATTTTCTTTTAGTACCACGAGTACTTACATGCAAGGTTTCATTATATGAGGCAATTATATCAAGTGAATATAGATTATCATAAACTGATAAAAGACCGGTACCAATAAGCTTTGAATCTTGAAATAGACTGAACTGACTATTTCCAAATGAACAAGAATAACCAAATTTGTCCAATGCAGAAATAGAAATTAAATTCCGTCTAAATGACGGTACAATAAATGTCTCTTTCAAATCCAAATAAAAATCAGTCTTTAATAATAATCTAAAAACACCGATAGCCTCAACTTCAACCCGCTTGCCATCACCGACATAGATGTATCTTTCACCATCAATTGGTTTTCGGCAGCTCAGGCAACCCTGCATGGATACACTTATGTGAGTAGTAGCACCGGAATCTACCCACCAAGTGTCCTTGGGTACCGAAATTAAATTAACCTCAGAACAAACAAGAGCAAGAGACATACCCCTTTTCGCACGCCAGGCGTGGTACTTAGTGCAGTCCTTTTTCTTGTGATTAGTCCCTTTGCAAAAGAAGCATCCAGATTCCTTAGTTTCTTCCTTAGTTTCCTTATGATGCTTTCTTTGAGGCCCTGAATTTACAGCTTCCTTAAATTTCCTTTTCTTGCTGCCCTTAGAGGTAGATGTCAAATGAGCACTTTCAGTCTTATCTTGCTTTATTCTCTCTTCCTCTTGAACACAATGAGAAATGAGCTCATTGAGAGACCATTTCTCCTTAATGCAGTTGTAACTGACTTTAAATTGATTAAATTGAGAAGGAAGAGAGATCAAAACTAAATACACAAGCAATTCCTCAGGCAAAATGAGCTTAAGTGCACTTAGTTTTGAAGCAATATGAGACATTTCCAAAATGTACTCCCTTATGTTCCCTTTGCCTTTGTACTTCATGGAAACAAGAGTGCTCAAAAGAGTACTAGTTTCCGCCTTTTCGTTTTTAGCAAAACGCTTTTCAAGTTCGGCAAGGAACGATTTGGCATCATCCTCATCAGACATAGTGCCCCTGAATGATTCTGGAATTGCACGTTTCATGATCATCAGACTCATGCGGTTTGAGCGTTCCCACCTCTCCATCCCCCTCTTTTCATCAAGGGTAGATGAGTCCTTAAGAGCGGCGGGTTTCTCAGTCCGGAGTGCAAGGTCTAGATCCATGCAACCGAGAACAATCATAACGTTCTCTTTCCATTCCTTAAAATTCGTGCCGTTAAGCACAGGGATGCTATTAATATTAGCAGATATTGTAGCAGCAGAATTGTTGACTGGAAGAGAACAAAAATTAATATAAGTTATATGCTCTAAAAACTGAAATAATCTTGATAATTAGTTTTAAATTTAAATATTAGCAATCCCCATCACAAGATACCTAACGCAACATCTAATCTTGTCTTTGGACATAAATTAGACTTGCAAGTGGTACTCTTGGTGTAATAATAAAATTTTGATAATAAAATCATGTCAAATACTAAGCCTTTCTTTGGACCGACTTAATATTCACATGAAAACCTCATAATTATCACAAATTTTATTATCACAAATGTACTTAAATTTCGGTCAAATAATAACCTTCCTTTGGGCCGATTATTATCCACATGAAATAAGAAAGTACACAATCATCTTAATATATGAGTCAATTAATTTCAACAAGAGAGGCTACTTTGGCAGCATGTTGTGTCAATTAACCAACCCAAATATTAGACATGCTAATATTAAATCAAATATCTGAAAAGTAAAATTGGGCAAATTTTTCCTGAGTCACATTCAAATGTGTTATGTATGACGATAATTTGTAAAACCCGTACTCAATCGTTGTGTGATCGCAAAATAAGATTTATACTTTCATAACACATAATGCATATTTTTCATCCCGCAAAACACAATGACGAACAAAATAATCAATACCGTAATATCCAAATTATGTATTTCTGACAAAATTGATGTTGACTGTAATTACATATAAGTATTTAATTACCAAACCCGGCAATAATCACATATATGTACTTAATTACTAAAATCTATAGAAAATTTCCAAAAGGAATCACCGAAAAATGGAAACATATCATAAATTTATTTGATGCACGTATACTTCGGCAGACTCATAGAAGGATTCCAAATCAAGAACAAAATACGTAGGCTAGATGGCTAATTCCTTAAATAGTAAATTATGATCCATTATGAATCAATTCAGCCACATCCAAAATAATACGTACTATCGTGAAATAATAATACTCCGTATGAAGTGCTCTAGGGATTACCAGTTTATCATTGACTGACTCAATTCAATCGCAAGGTTGATTTCACATTGAGCAAAACACAAAATAATAACAAAAAAAATTAACTAAAAAGCAAAGACATAATCACGGCGCACTTCAGGAATATAGGCAATACAATATCCCCTATTACCGACTGATAAGAAGAAATAACAATTTAAACATAATCGATCGTTCGGCACGAAGTACACAGAATTAAACAAAATTGTTGATTCCACTTATTCCATACTGATTTGAAATAAGCAGAAACACGGAAAATCAATATCAAAACGGAATTGACTCCAACAGATTACAATTCGAAAATTTATTCATATATACCCAAATTCCAATCGTAAATGATTACTACGATTGAAAAATAAAACGAAACATCCGATTAAACTCAATTGTTTCGTTTAAGCATTAACTGACTCCAAATAATTCAATATGAAGGAGGCTCTGATACCAATTGTTGGAATAAATCCATAAATACTTTAATCTTCATATTGGAATTATCTAGAGAATTAACTTGAGCGGAAGCGTACCTGACTCCATTGGAGATGATCTTTGGAGATCCGGGAGACGGAGGCTAGGGTTTGGATCTTCTAGTTGATACACACCCTCGGGAATTATCTCTCTAGCGATGGGATGCAGAAAGACGGAATGGCGTGTTCAACTAGGGACCATAACCCCTCTATTTATAGAGAATGCTTAACCCTAATCAGCCCATCATTAATTAGGTTAAGCCCATGGGTCTCTACACATTTGGGCCCTATACCTTATTAGATAACTTATTAGCCCACTTAAATTAATATCCATAGGACCACTAATTTTTGGGCTAAATATAAGATAGCATATAACATACAATTAACCCAATAAATAATATGTTGTGAATATTATATGTAGTATAAGTCCAATAATCTAACAGTTTCAGGGTTTCGTTGCTACCACGATGGACTGGGAATGAAGTCCAAATGCTCAGTAAGCCTCTAAAGGCAGAGATTGAAAACCAACAAAGGAATTAACAATTTCGGAAAGCAAGACATAGATCGATGGATTTCAAAATTGGTGTAAGAAGGAAGACTACCTCTTAGTATTAGCAGAATAAAATGAGACGGAAGAAAGTTGTTATTGTTGGAAGAGATCAAGAGAATGCAAAAAAAGTTAGTGTACCGGCGGCATCGGTTGATGGCGGCTTTGTAACAGCACAACTTTTTTAACTGCATGTGCGTGTGAAAAGACTTCCATTTGTAACGGCACAACTTTTTTAATCCAACGTTATTCATGAATAATCCAACCTTTGCACCTCGTCTTCCTTCACTGGTCCTGACAAGTTAATGATCTGCTATTCAACGTTATTTTCTTATCTTTGCAAAATATTAACTTTGTGAAATGTGAGATTTATGGTATAATGGTTTGCAAAGATAAGAAAATAAGTTGAAATAGCAGGTCATCAACCGGTCAGGGACCAGTGAATGAAGATGAGATGCAAATGTTGAATTATTCATGAATAACGAAAAGGTGGGACTACTGTTGTAAGAAGACCGCTAAAAGGTTGAATTATTAGTTTCCATTTTAGCTGGTGGACATCGTCGTTCGAATATTTCCATTAAAAAATTTGTTAGACTTCCATCTAAATGAGACGCTACATTAAACGGCAAAAGGATCATGTAACTAGGGATGGGTTCGGTTCTTGCGGTTCGGTTTTGACCTAAAACCAAATATAGAATCAAACTAAAAAGTTTGGTTCGGTTTCGGTTCGGTTTTACACTCCAAAACTTGGAACTACAGTTTGATTGGTTCAGTTTGTGTCGGTTCGGTTTCGGTTTTTTCGGTTTTTTACCAAAAAAATATCACTTGATTCAAAATTAATACTATCGTATAATACTTAGAGGGATCAAATATATTACATAAAGAATGCAAGCACAATACAACAACAAATAAAATAAAAATGAATAGAGATAAATATGTTTTAATTTATATGAGTATGCGAGATAGATAAAATTGTATGAAGTATATATTATAGATTTAATTTGTTTGTGAGTAGTTCGAAAAAAGTTCATGAGTATATACATTCTATACTTCTATGTGATATAGTTGAGATGAATATTTATTGTTTTATCAATATAAAATCTTTAAGTTATCTAAAAAAAGTTAATTACTACTAATAACTAGTAAACACATATTATCATCATTCAATATTAGCTATATTATTACAGGCAATGAATGTGTAAATGAATTTATAAACTAAATTAAATTAAGCATAACACAAACATTATTTCTCTAACACAAGAAAACCAAAGACTATTGATGATATTAAGATTAATTAGAATCAATGCTTAACAATTAAATTATAAATTTCATATTTTGAATAGTTCGGTTTGTTCGGTTCGGTTCGGTTTTGAAGGGTAAAAACCAAAACCGAACCAAACAACTTCGATTTGGTTCGGTTTTTTACATTCGGTTTCGGTTTCTTAGCGGTTCGGTTTTATTTGGTTGCGGTTCGGTTTAATTTGATTCGGTTTTCGGTTTTCGGTTTTTCAGACCCAGTCCTACATGTAGGGCTGGACTCGGTTCGGGCCGGGCCCGGTTCGGGCCTTGAACCGGCCGGGCCTCGGTTCACCAAAAGGAGGGCCCGGGCCCGAACCGGACGGTGACCGGTTCCGGGCCGGTTCCGGGCCGGTTCACCCGCCCCATTTTTTTTTTGATTTTTTGGCTTCTCTTATTTAACCCCTACCCCTCCCCCTCAACCCCAAACCACCTCAAATGGCCCAAAATACCTAATCCAACCCAAAAATTAAAAAAATTTCAAACAAAAAAAAAAAAAAATATTCCGGCCCGGACCGGGCCCGAACCGGCCGGGCCGGTTCACCAAATGGAGGGCCCGGGCCCGGAACCGGTATCCACCGGGCCGGTTCGACCCGAACCGCCGGTGGACCGGGCCACCGGGCCGGGCCGGTTCACACAGTAACCGGGCCGGGCCGGTTCCGGTTCGGGCCGCCCGGCCCGAGTCCAGCACTACCTACATGTAACCAAGATTTGCATTTATTAATTAAACTAGCGATTTCACGCGCAATGCGCGAGAGTGGAGGCCCAACAATACATGTGTCTCCAATCAAAATAACTTGTTACTCTAATAAACTATTCATGGTTAATTGGTTATGGTGTATGTAATTATATTGTAAGTCACTAAATATAATAATAAACATCTTTCATTGACATTGATCTTTGAACTAATTCAACTAATTAATAAGATTGTTGATGATTTCATATTTTCAATAAGTTTATAGGAAAATGGCTTCATTTAATAAGAGTTATAACTTGTGTATGAGGCTTCTTCTAAATCTTTTTTTATGTGACCATTTTGTTTAGCATATTAGTATTATCAATAAAAAATTTATCAAACACGTACTACTTTACTAAGTACACTTAAAGAATTGAAATCATTTTAATTATATTGTTAAAGATGACAAATTTATATATTTTTTTGAAGTTTCACTTTTTATGATATATGAATACCTTTTTGTACTTCAATAATATGTTTTGTGTTTTTGTCAATGAACTTGGTCAATCATTATTTAAAAACTAATATGGGACATATGTAATAATAAACCATATTTTAACATAATATCTTCATCATTCAGTAGCTTCAGGCAATTCATTTTTAATAGACACATACTCAACGACAACGGTTCATTTTGGATCTTAGAAGACAAATCCTTAATCTTCTAAATTAATAAAGGGTGTTTTTTGTAATTAACACAATCCCTCTAAAAGTTAGAGCCAGAAATATTTAAGTATAAAATATTTTAATATTATATTATATTTTATTAGTTTAGAGATTTCAAGCACAACTTTAAGAGATTAATCGCATAAAAAACTAAATCATTTCAAGGGTACTCTTTATTTACATCAAGAAAAAAGAGTAGTCTTTATTTTCAATGTGAATATGGGAATTTATAAACGATGCTTCTTCATAAATTCCCACATTCGAAAATATCTGCTTAATTGAAAGGTAATGGACAACATATATAACCATAAAAGCTTTTATACATCAAAACAAACTAAATAGTCACACCATCAACCAAAAAACGAAACAAAGCAATGTTTTATTAAACTAAATAAGTGAAAAAATATAAGGGCAAAAAATGTACTCCGTAATTAAAACATTTGCAAGAGAATACATGCATTTGGGAGTAAGTTGGCAACCGTTAATTACTGCTAACGGCACTTGGGTTTTTTTGTCCATTAATATTAGGGTACCATACTTTTATCACAAAGTACAAGTATTCATGCATTAAAAATGTTGACACAATTCAGGGATACTAACCAACACTCACAATTATAATGTTTTTAGACTAAACAGAGATGCACACTGCGTATACTCTCCCTATTTTTCCCCCTACTTAAATGATTTCTACACTAGCCTTGGGCACAATCTTTTAGGATAGAATAGTAGGTGTAATGAAAAATGTAGAAAAAGACAAAAAGTAGGAGAGAATGTGTAAAAGTATGAAAGAGAAGATAAAAAGTAGATACTAGGTAATTGTACTTTATAAAAGGTAAACTTACCAAAAAAAGAAGTTGGAACTTACCAATAAAGAATAAAGTAAGGATAAACTTACCAAAAATGAAAGTGTAGAAAACTTTTAAATACAATACACACAAAAGTGTAGAAACTTTTAAATATGGGGGAGGAAGTATAACATTTGCTTCTTTGTTTTTTCTCTACAAATAAATGCTCCGTATATGTATATGAATTTATTTGGTGGAATGTTTTTCACTTTTGTTGGGCAGATGAGTGTTGGCCAAACACCAAGGACAGACATAGAAAAATGCATGGTGTACACAAATTAATACGGAGGGAGTATAATTCAAAGTTAATATGTTTGACATGGAAAAATGCATGGTGTACACAGTTTGAAATTCAAAGTGAATATTACTGCATGGTGTACACAAATTAATACGGAAGGAGTATAATCCAAAGTTGACTTTCACGTGGATTAATAAAGTAAAAACTGTGTGGTTGAAATGTGAGATTTATGGTATAATGGTTTATTAATCCACGTGAAAGTCAACTTTGGTCAAACTTTTTGGGAGCTTCCATTTATAGTTAAAAACGGAGGGAGTATAATTCAGTGTTTTTTTACTTGGATTTATTTTACTTTTAGATCAATTAGACCACGTCAGACTAGATCGGAAAGATCATACTTAAATAAATCAACTAGATGGATTTGAAAAAATCAGCCCATAACAAATACACTTCGATAGTTAAAAAAATATATGTAAATTACATAGCTTCCATATCAATTTAGAGCAAACTAAAACATATTTATACAGACCAAACTAGACTATGCAATTTTAATCTAATACCCTGATACCCAAGTGAAAAACACATCCTAAATGGATTATACAACCACCAACGTGGCGTCCTAATCACTTAAAGCATTTTTGTCCAATTTAACACAGTAGTCATAATTACAAAAGCTCATTGACGAATGACAATGCGAATCCTTATCCTTTAATTTAACAACCATTCTTAGTGTACACATTTTTGTACCCATCAGTACACGCATGTGTCTGTGAGAGTATTTTTTTGTCTGTGAAGCGCGATCCACAGACATAAGTTCGCTTGTTTTGTCTGTGGAAAATTTCACAGACAAAACAAACCAGCTTTTGTCTGTGGACCGCACTTCACAGACAAAAAAAAACTCTCACAGACACATGCGTGTACTGATGGGTACAAAAACGTGTACAAAAGGAATTTTTGTTAATTTAATGTAGCGTTACAACAACTACGCGGTCCCCACTGTACTTTAGCTATGTTTGTCAAGTCATCTCATTAGTTAATAATGCCTTTAATTTTTTACTTTAGCCAACAAGAACGCGACACGATCATTAATTGTCATATAATTCCCATACATGGCTGGCTTCGGTTTTATCACTAAATTAAACCATGAGGCTCGTTTGGTTGACAAAATGTTAGATTACTTTGAGAATGTCAGATTGCTGGACATTTTAGATTGATGAGAATGTATTAATTTGTATCCCATTTGTGTTTGGTTGACACTTAGAGAATATCACATCAATTTGTTTGGTTGAATAATATCTTATACTACAGATTTGATGATTTTCAATTAGCACAATAGATTTATTACAACCTGCAATTTAAACTAACTGAAATTAAAGAAAAATGAAATACCTTAACAATAAAAAAATCAAAACTAAATGAGTTATGATTAATTGTACAAATGACAAAGATACATTGTGTATGTTGCACCCAAAGAGAAAGATAAGTGAACATTTAAAAAAAATTTTGTTTAAAAATACATACTCACATACATTAATAAATAAATATGAATATATCATTAACAAAACAGTTGTATAAAAAGAACAAGTCAATGTAGCTCTACTTAATTTTGTTGAACTCTCTTTTCAAATTGGCAAAAAAGAGTGAACTAAATTCTTAAAAGCAATAGGCACAATAATAAGAAAAGCATATTTAAATCTGCTTACGATTCAAAGAAAAATTAGAAAGTTAAATAAATACCAAAGAACAGCACAATGTGTTCAAAAAATGGAGAGAAAAATTTAAATATATTAAAACAAAAATCAAGGAATAATCAAAAGAAGATTAAAGAGGATTAAAGATTAAATTTAGAGGGAGTAATTACTTGATTTAGGAGACTCTTGTAAAATGAAGAAGATTTTTTTTTATAGAATTGATTGGATAGGAGACATAAATAGGATTGAAAAGCTATAATAGAATGCTAATTAAATTAGCATGAGTACGTTTTAATCAAGGAAGGGAGAATGTGAGATAACTTAAGAGCATCTCCATTCATGATCTTAAAATAAATGATTTTTCTATTACACATCATTGTCACATCACATTTATTCAATAAATTTTAAACAATCTCAAATCTTAAAACTCTTCATCAACCATGATACTCAAAATAATTAGTTTTTCTTGACCATGCATTAAATACAATTTAACTACAACCTAAAATAGTTCGGGATCCAAATCTTGATACCGGATTTTCTTTTTCAATAATCTTTTTAAATAATCTCACACTCACAATGATAATCCTTCAAATAATCTTCCACTTCATCCTATTAAACCTTAAATAATCTAATGGATGGGGATGTACCCTAAGAGGTATATGGGTTTGACATTCCTAGGCATGTCACTCCATTATTTTCTATTTGGGAATATAAAATTCTAAAAAAAAAAATTAGACACGTGAACCAAACATGGACATCTCACATCTCGGATTCTCGGGCATTAAATTCCGGCATGCATAGATGATTTACCCCCAAACGTACCCTAAAGGCTAAAGTTTTAGAGACTTGCGCCGCTCATATATGGATGTGTCGAACAAGATTAATTCCCATCTAAAGCTTTTAAGCTTCCTACAGTGTCATTCCAATGATGATATAATCGGAAATGATAGCGGGAGATGATGGCAAGGGATGACAACGCGCGGGGGTGACAATAGCGGAAGTTGGTGGGGTGGACGGAGACTAGGGCTGTGGTGAGGCGATGGCGGCAGTAATACTTGGTAGGGGCGGTGGCAACAATGGTCTTTGTCCAGGGCGGCGGTGACCGTGGTCTTTGGTTGATACGACGACAACAGTGGTTGGTGGTCGGGGCGATGGCAGCAGTGGTCTTTGGCCGGTGCGGCGGCGGCAGTGGGTTTTTGGCCGGGGTGACGATAAGGTTAATTGGTCGAGGCAAAGGCAACATTCATTGACTGAGTGATCACTAATTGGTGGAGTTACTGGCGGCGGACATTGACAACGACGGTATGAATTGGTTAGGGCGGTGGAGGTAGTCACTCACTGCGGCGGTAGTCACTAATTTGTGGAGTTACTGCCGGCGGGAAGTATGTGACAGTGGTGTTGGCGGCAATTGCTGGCTAGGGCAATCACTAATGGGTGGAGTCGTTACGGTTGAGTCACTAATTGGTGGAGTCACTATTGCAGTGGTGGTCATCTTGCACGGGTGTCACTATAGGCGGTGGTAACTAGAGCTGCGGCCTACAAAGTCACTGAACGATATACGGTTACATAGTCTTTGTCACTGTGGCGGCGGCGATGATGGCAGCAGCTGCCATTTGGTGGCTAGAAGACATTGATGAATTATTATTTATAAAAAATATAATATTACACTAATAATAAATGTAATACTTCCTCCGTTCTCTAATGTTTGTCATTCTTTCCAGTTTGGGTTGTTTTCTAATATTTGTCTCTCTTTCTATTTTTGGAAAGTTTTTTCAATAGATATACCTATTTACCCCCATTTTCTTTCATACTTTTTCATTTAAACACAACTCACTACCCCTTTTACACCATTTTTATTATTTTCATCTTAAAACTTGTGTCAAACCCTATAGGGACAACTAATGGACAACGGATGGAGTATTAAAGTATGTAATTAATAAATGATACGGTTGGTATTTTGGAACATTTCAAAACAAGTCACATTTTCATCGTTTGAACATATTTTAGTAATATTGAAAAAGGGCCTTCTTTACATGTTTACTTTTTCTATGTTACCTCTTTCCTCTCTCTTTTACTCAAAAAGTCGTGTCATTTATCCAAGGTAACCTTTCAACGGAATGGAAAAAGTAAGCATGTAAAGAAGGCCCTTCTTCATTTACGCAATGAAGAGTATATATAACACTCTTTGGATAAAAGATTACATGCAACTGAACTGCTGAAGAGGGGTAAAAGGCTGAAGTAAAACGTTCGGAAAGATAGTGTTTGGGTCTATTACACTTGTTTTCCAAAATTATCCTTCACGTTCACACCTTCGTTCTTCTCTGGTTTGTCCCTTCATTGCGTAACTATTGGTAATAGGACCAGCTTGAAATATTCCAACCTCTATAATACTACTGATGTTTTACTCCATGACGCTAGCTGTCAAAAATCTAATTCTTCGACCATGGGTTATTCATGATTCGGGTGCATTCATAATGTTTACTCCCTCTATCGTTTGAGCTTATTGTAATTTTGGAGCACGTCATATCTCAAGCAAATCTGAAGGATAAGGCCACCTACACTCCCTATGGGCCGATATCAAACTTGGAGCTCACACCTCAAAGCTTCTTTTCAGGTCCAGCAACCGTGATAGACCCAAAAAAGCTAAGTGTCCAAAAATCATTTATATTTGATACATCAAAACAAAAAAACATAAAAAAATCATAAATTGAAACATTTGAAAAGTATTTTAAGTGGTTTAATTGCTTTTACTCTTGTCAATTGTGTGTAATTTTAACATTGAAAAACGGAATTATGAAATCCAATCACTCACGTACGCCAGACGAGCACACACACATGCGTCACCGGGTCACGTCATATGAGTGTGACGATTAATAAGCTCCAATATAAATGTTAATACCACACACTTTTGACTTCATACGAGTTCTTGTGTGCTCTTACCTCTTTTTAGTGCATCACACTCCGACCTCGGGGGATGAGTCACCCGTTCAAAAGTTTTTACTTGCGGGTTCGAACTACTAACCTCGGGCGGCGAGTTAAACTCTTGTTAGGGGCCTAGAGCCACGCTCTTCCGAGCAATTTTTTCACTTAATTGACATTCACATTTCCCGAAAAGGTTGATATACTTTAGTTCTGTGGGGTTGGATTATCCGTTCAATGGTGACTCCGAGTCACTTAAACTCGCGGATTCAATATTCCTTTCAGAGACGGGGTTGAGGCCTAACTTGGGAACTTGATGTCACTCTTCTCGGGTAGTGAGTCTGACTCACTTACTCACTGAGTCGTGGTTCAGCACCGGGTCAGATGCTCTATTCTACATTTGTTGCTTTTATGTGTAGGTACGACTGAACGAAGATGAGCCTGATGCGTTCGAGCTCGATGAGAAGAATGGTTCTAGCCATCCTTTTTGTTGATGGTGACCATTGCAATAAAGGCTGAAGATTTCACCCTTTGCTTCATCTTGGGGGCATCAGGTGTACTCTTTTTCCCTTCATTAGAATTTTTTCCCATTGGGTTTTTTCCTAATGAATATTTTTAATGAGGCATCTCCCCAACATGGACAAGGGCAGATATCTTCCAGTCTTGAACTACTCCCTCTTAGTCGAGTCTACTACTAGGCCCAAAGCCTAACCGGCCCAAGCCCCGAGTTTGGACCGTGGGTCCCGGGCCCATAACCTGGATCCTACCTACCAGCGCAGGCGGGAGCCTGCCAGCTCGACCGACCTGCCAATCGTGAAAAGTAACGGTCAAGCAATTAATGCGATGTTTAATTATGTATTTAATTTCATATTAATGTTGTAATTAATTAGTCATTATTATTGATAGCGGTTACGATCTGTAAACGCCTATAAAAGGCAAGTCATATTCCAAATACTAGACCAGCTATTTCTGGCAACTAAACTTCTCTAGCAACTTTCCATTCTCGTATTATTTTCTTGATTCTTGCTTGAGTGTCTATCGTAGCTTTCCTAAAAGCCTACGAGCGTCCTATTTTGGACCAACACCATCCCTTGCCATTGGTCCTTCCAAACCATTCCATTCCATTGTTTCCAAATGCTCCATAATATTGAGAAAAACTTGCGTTGGGTTTCGTCACTGGACACCACGAGCTGTTGTCGAAGGCATTCCCACAACGTATTGGAGGTCTGAACAACCCCAACCCCTGCCTACTACCAACCAAGGGAGGATCTAGCATTTGCGTTGAGGTGGGGCCAAATTTTAATTAGCGAGACGTAATTTATTTTGCAAAAAATGTTAAAATTACAAGATTTAGTTATATAATTTTACAGAAGTGTCAAAGAAAAAATAATAAATATTACAAAACCGAAAATGTAATTATCTTAAAAGAGCCATAGATATCTAACCGAAATTGGCTTGTGTCAGTTAATGACGCGTTCAATACCAATTTTCAAATTGATTTCTCGAAAATCAATTTTCTTTTGACTCCATAGTCTATGCTCTATGTAAAAAAGTAAACTAATTAAATTTCACCTACTAAGCAGAATGAATTGAACTTCTTAACTTTTCAAATCAGTATTCAATTGCCCAATGATGTGAACTAATTAATTTTGTAGACTAATATTCGAAATTCTAATGAATCGAATTAATTAATTTTTCAAGCTAATATTCAAAAGCCAAATGATTTGAACTATATATATTTTGCAGACCAATTGCCAAAACCCCAACAATTTGGACAGTGTATCAAAAAATTTACTCATGTTGCATTGAAAAATTATAAATATGGTGCCCAGGGGACTCAAACCTGACTCCTTTTATTGCATAATTAGTGTGCTTCCATTGGACAAACTTGACTAATGTTAACAAGTTGACATTAGCTTTTTTATATCATAACTACTAAAACACTATATATTAATATATACATAATATATACATACAAATAATTATATATTTTTTAGCATGGGCCTAGGCCCACCCTGGCCATGGGCCAGATCCGCCCCTGCTACCAACCATCTCTTACCCAGGCGCATGAACGGACCGCATGCTCTAGCGACCCCTCTGTCACACCGCAGACCTTGCACCCTCCTTGCACCAGGCCATTACCCCTTTCCTTTCCACATTTTCCATTGTATGTGACGAGCCATCAAGAACCTGCCATGCAAAATATTTAAATTTGGAAGAACACAAATTTCTTAGAGACGTGACCAAGTACTCCACCCCCTATAGACAACCTGCATGTAATCAACATACATAAACATTTAACTGAAAACGATCCACTTTTTTCTCCCATCCATCAATTGCCATCATTCATGTCCTGTTAGCTGATGGGTATGCTTAGAACTATCCTCAATATTGAAGGTGGACAAAATCTTTTCTTTGTTCCGATTCTTCCCTAATCATAAAGGGCAGCCACATTCATATCTTTAACGCCATGTGGTTTTCCTGATTGAATTCTCCTTGATCCTTCTCCAGGAAGCCAAGTGTATGTTGTCACGCCCCATACCGCATTTAAGCGTGTGTACGACCGTAGCACAATCAAGTGACGTCGCCCTAGAGTCACACTCACTCGATTATACAAGGCGTCCATGAACATTGTTCACACCATACTCAATAAGTAAACATACATAACGACATCACAACATAGATTGAATGAATAGCAAAAATATTCAATAGTCAATCATGGGCCACATTGTTCACATCATAACTAGGATAATTATCTCAACAATCAACCCCCAATTCACTTTTGATAACCATCATTGCTTTGTGCTCCTCCAATGTAAGCATTTAGGAATCCAAAGACTACATTTAGCTTTTTGGACACCTAAAACATTTAGATTACAAATCGTCTAAAGAAAAGAAAGGCGATGAAATTTCACGGAGGAAGAAGCAAAAAGAAAAAAATATAACACAACTAAAAGTCAAAATTGGGTGAAATTTTCGGGGCATTAGTCCCACGAAAATAGCAAATAAAAATGAGTCAGATGGTGTATAAGAATGTTATTACTTGGACTAAAATTTGCTAATCTGATTTGGTATGAAATGATCTGGTCTGGTCTCGTAAATATCTAGTCTCTAATGTGTATATTTTATAATTGTCCAAATATGGTCTGACCTGGTCTAGTCTGACCTGGTCTGGTCTGATCTTATCTGCGACTGAAAACAGTCCAAATAAAAACATCCTAATACTATGTACTACGTATAAAAGAAGATCACATTAAGTTAGATGAGTAAACTATAATTTAAATGAACATGTTCTAATTGTGCCAACACTATTAAAAAACACGTGATTGACATAGATTTTTGACAAAGACTCAATAAAATCATAAAGACCTAGCAGAGATACGTTAAATTTGTGCCAAAAATATTTTGGCACGAGCTATTTTGTAATGCAAATATATTATATACAGAGTATATATTACGTGAAATAGAAATAAATTTTCCAATTTAAAATATTTGAACCATACGTCGCTTTCTAAACACGTGAACTTGGCGTTTTTCTGGTAAGCTAAGCTTAGACTTTAACAGTTATTCAAAGTGATTAGCACACGTTTATATTTTACGCATTAGTAACAACAGATCAGAGTGTGGATGCAACAAAGAAATAAGTAATACGTATTTCATTTGCATACCTTATGCGTGAACATGTAACTACCAATTCTTTTCAAAGCAATTGTTCCCAATACGAGTAAAATATACTGTAACACATTTGCCTAAATAGGAGTTAACTCCTAATATTCCCCAAATAAGAGTAAACATTAATTTTTTTTACCCCTAATACCCCTATTTTAAATCATTATTTCCACCCCTAGTTCCCTTGGGCAACCAGGGCAGTCCGTTGGTGGCGGGGGGCAGTCCGGTGGTGGCAGTGGCGGCCGGCGGTTGCAGTGGCGGCCGGCGGTGGAGCTCCCGCCGACCGGCGGAAACCCCTATTCTAATTGATTATTGCCCCTTCTAGTTCCCTTGGGCAACCAGGGCAGTCCGTCGGTGGTGGGGCAGGGCATTGGTAGCGGGGGCAGTCCGGTGGTGGCGGTGGCAAACGGTGGTCGGCTGCGGCGGAGCTCCAGCGACTGTGACGGTGGCAAGAAGAATGGGGAGAAGTACTATATTTTTTTACCTCGCCGGAGCTCCTGCCACCGTCAAACTCTGGCAGTCGGCGGTACTGTAGCAGCAGGCAGAAGCAATGGCAGATGCATCCTTTCCCATTTAGAAAAAATACTCCTATTTTGGAAATTTAAAAACTCTACTCATATTTTTGCGCAACTCATATGTTATACTTATCTTTTGGTAATTGTTTCTTCTTTTCATAACCCTCAGAGTTCTCCCTAAATGCTATCGTATAATAATTCTTCCTAATTAAACCTTAAGGTGAAATTTTGGAACAATTAATTTGGGACAATTATAGAGGATCAAATCAATCATTTTTGGGAATTAACCGTCAAAATGAGGAGGGCTCCTCCTCTCTAGTGGAGAATGTTTTAACCTACCCGCACGAGTAGCTCAGTTGGTCGAGTTGTGGGAAATTTAGATCAATGGACCAAGGTTCGAATCCCCGCAACGACGGGGTGGAGGTTACACAACCTGAAATAAGGCTGTGCCTCTGGCGCGCACGGGTGCAGGCCTACTGCCATTTTGCTGACTGAGTCACCGTGACTTACTCCTTCATCATCCTGTCGGGTCGGGTGTGGGGGCTCCTGGGGTTGGAGATTCCACCTTTTTTGGATCAAGAGAATGTTTTACTAAAGGGTGATTCTATATACAACCCTCTGTTTTTTCTTTCCACAGCCCCGAGTAAATTTAGTTGATCTTTTTGCCCGTGTATCTTTAATTCATACAGCCCTGTATATTTTGTCGTTCTGCAATTATGCAGCTGTAGGCATCTTTGCATCTCGAATCACAATAGTGGTGTAAATGACCACCTGGTCATTTGAATTGATTTACTTATTGAAATCAAATTCAAGTTCATACTTCATTCATATAATTTATACAGTACTCCCTATTGATTTGGGTCCTTCTCCCATAGTCTCATCATGACTTTTTATATAAAATGTCAAACATAGCTTTCTTTTATGGCAAAGCAAATTGTTTTGAGTAGTCTAAAGCTTACAATCCCAATTCTAGTTCATAGATGCGAGTCCACCCACAAGAGATACGAATTTTGATTATATTTCATAGATAAAATCTTTAGACAACTTAAAAACAAAGGATTGAAGGCTTTCACCTTGGTAAAGTACCAACAGCAAGATGTGGGATGGGGACAAGCTGTCGGAGCTCCAAACAACAGCCAGATCCTCGTCCGGCCAACTTTGGTTCACCATGGCTACAACTCTGTGGGTCTACCAAGAAAAGTCTTGATCTCGAGTCTCGCCGCATGGCTAGCCTAGGAAAGTAACCCCCACCAACACCCCTAGGCGGCAGAGAGAAGCCGACGACTGTGGAAGAGTAACCTCAAGAAGACCACCGTCTTGGGTCGCCAGAGCGACCCCGGCCAGGCCAAACTGAGAAAATGGAAGAGAGAAGACCATATGTGAAACACTTAAAATGGAAGAGAGGAGGTCCATGCCAAACCGTGTGTGTGAACAAGAGATGCGAATTTCATTCCTACTTCACATAAATGGAAAGATATTCTTCAAATGTCCATTGATCTTGTTGGGGATTGAGTAGCCAGTGCCTCTTCAATTGAATGTGATTAGAAGTTACGTAATGGGCATATTAGGTATTGCAAATGATGGGGTGCCAATAGAATTCCCCTTTACTAAAAAGTGATACTCCCTCCGTTCCAAATTGTTTTGCAAAGTCAATTTTTTTTGTCAACCAATAATAAAAGTCAATCCTCTCTATCGATAATTAACTCAATTTTTTATAATTAAAATTTACATATTCAGAAACTACATTAAAATCTCTTCAAAATTGCAAACTCCAAATTAGAATATAATTAAAAATTGACATCCTAATTAAGCAAATAAAATGAAACTGTTGGACCAAGAAAAGTCAAATTTGCAAATCAATTTGAGACGCAGGTAGTAATAATTACTCCTTCACCTACTTTATTGGATACTTGGATCAAGCCAAGCACTCGACATAAAATATTGGGATAGGCAAAAAAATATTCCATAGACTATTTGTTTCAATACATTTTACTCACAAAATAAATTTTGTACCATTTTCTTCTGCAGTTGAAACTGGTCTCCTAACTATACTTATGTGTGGCTTTTAGGGCTAGCTTAGATGGTTGGATAAAGGGGTGTAGACCACTGGTAGGCTTGGATGGATGCTTTTTAAAGGGGGGATATAGAGGAGTGTTCTAGCATAGCATGAATGAGAATAATGGCATGTTTCCCTTGGCAGTGTTCATTTGCAGGAAAGAAGATGGTGAAAACTGGGATAAGTTTCTGGAATTAATATCTCCTGAGCTCAAAAAACATTCTTTGTCGCTCACAGTGATATCGGATAGAGCTCAAGCCATCATTAGAAGTATTGAGACACATTTAGAAGGGTGCAATCCAAGGAGTTGTTTCAGGCATATCTTCAAAAAATATGAGCAAATGGTGGAAAGGGAATCACATCAAGCAACTAGCATGGGCTACTGCGGCATACAAAAAAAGTCCATTTTGAAAGAAATCTTGTGAATTTGGAGAATGCAGCAGTTGGGATCGGACTAAGGATTACTTGATGGAAATAGGTCCACATTTGTGGTCAAGGGCCCAATTTGATACTATCTGTAAACTTAAAGTGATCATTTGACCAATAACTTTGCCAAAAGCTAAAACAGTTTTATATTAAGTGAAAGGGAGAAATCTGTATGCTCTATGATAATAAGGATGTCATTTCTGATGATGAAAATTATGTATGATAGGAAATTAGAAAGTAGCACTTGGGATGAAAGTGGTGTGGTTCCTAGAGTTGCTAAGACCTTAGCACTTTATAAGGAGAAGCAAAGTGATTTTGTCACTCACCCTTTGGGTGAAGGGACATTCAGTGTAAGAAAGTTTATTGGACAACATTGGACTCTTAACTTAAACCATCATGAATGTGACTGTTGTGAATGGCAGGTGACACGAATACCGTGTGTACATACCGTGCACTTGATTAGCCACTTGAGACTGCCACTTGCTCAGTATGTTGCTAGGTTTTTAAGCTTATATATGGATTCCTTGAGTTAGAATATTTTATATTTTACTAACTTTTATTCTTATTACTCATGCATATAGATTTTGCAGTCCATTTCTAAGTGTTAAGGCTTACAAATCATCTTATGAATCCAATATCAAACCAATTTCACATGAAACTGATTGGCCAGAGGTAGGATTACTGACTATATTAATAAAATGTATTAAAAATGTGCAGTTAGAAATTAAACTAAACCACCTTTATTATATGCAGGGGATTGAATTTTTGTTGCCACCTACACTTTCAAGGGCACCTGGAAGGCCTAAACACAAAAGGATTAAAGGGCATGATGAGAATGAAACTCAACCCAAGAATATGAAAAAGTGTTGTAAATGTCTTTCTTTTGGCCACAACAAGAGATCTTGCCAAGGGGGTCCAATTAAAGGAGGCGCCAATACTAGTAGTGCTGTTAGAGGTGCTGGAAAGGCTTCTGGAAGAGGAGTAGGAAAGGTTATTGGAAGAGGTGTTGGAAGGGGAGCTGGAAAAGGGCGTGAACGAGTGGTTAGAAAGGGGGGCTGGAAGGGCAATCAAAAGAGGAAGGGCTGCTTCATAAAACACAACTGCACACTATTTTTGTCATGCAGTTTTCTGTCATGCTACAATCAGTCTGGTACATGCAGTTTATTAAAACACAGCTGCACTTTTTTTGCTCACTGTAAAGATGTCTTATTTTTGCTACAAGTATTGTAGTTGCTCATTGTAAACTCTTCACTTGGAGCTCACTATATTTTGCTAGAATTAGACGAAGCACTGTTTTTTTGCTAGAATTATAGATATGGATAACAAGATGATTGTAGTTGCAGAGATTTTCTGAATCTATAATGATATATCATTATTCTATCAAGTATCATATTATTATATTGAAAGTGATGATTCAGATCTTCAAGTTTGTGTTGATATTTGTTTTTCATGTTTACCTTTGAATCTTAAAAATCTGGATCCGTAGCTTCTTGCTCGTTCAAATTTGTATAATAACATCTTCTTTGGGCAGCCCCTGTAACATGGTATATCTTTTAATATGGTAGCTCATTTTTTGCAGCTTTTTGTAGTTTTGGACTTTCTGATTCTTGCATCTACTGCAGTTTTTTTGTGTGTACTATTAGCTTTTTTGGGAGGTATAAATTTGGTGTGTAGGACTTTTTATGGTGCATGTATACATCTGCATTGCTGGTGTGGATCAGTCATTGTTATGCTGTTTTATTTTTTTTTTTTTTAATTTTTTGCTTTTTTCTAAGCAATTTCTTGGTGTTGGCAGTAACTTCTGCATTTTTTCGTTTACCTTTGATATGCACTATTTCCTAGTGCATAAGTTTGTTATTTTAGTATTGTTTGATGGTTGTTTTTAATTGTTTAGTTTAGTTTGTGATGTACTCTATAGATTTATGTTGTAGGTTTTAACTTGTATTTTTAGTGTGTATTTTGTTGTAAGTACCATAAGGGATGCAAGGAAGTATTATAGGCACCAAAGAAAGGCAAGATGAATAGTGGAAATAAATTCTGGTAGCAAACCCGGTCAGGTTGAAATATAACCCGGTCGGGTTGTAAGTGACATATGAAGCCAAAAGGAAGCTACGCACCAAAACCCGGTCGGTTGGTATAAAACCCGGTCGGGTTGAGTTGACAAGAACAAAAGAACGTGTCCAAGATCAAGAGAACGTGGGAAATATCCGATTTGATACGTAACCCGGTCGGGTTTTGAGCCAACCCGATCGGGTTGAATGTGATTTCAGCACCTTCCAAGCAATTAGGGATACCCGATCGGGTATTCTACATACTCGGTCGGGTATCAGACCCAGCCACCTCAAAATACCTATAAATACACCCCTTTTCCTCCCATTTAAATCAACTCCTTCTTCCATACTCTTAAGCTCAACTTAGAATAGTATTTCTTTTATATTTTTATAGCGTGTTTAGTCTCCAAATGAGGAGCTAAACTTCCATTTCTTGGTGTTGCTCTTGAAGCTTGTTGATTAATAAAGTTGTGAGTTATTTTCTTATCTTCTTCCCTTGAATATTAATTATTCCTTTAATCTATCTATATATTAATGTTGGGGAGTGTTGCTAAGATGACAATTAGTTAACATCTCGACATTAGTTATAGTAGTATTTATTTTCTTCCTCTATATATTAATGTTGGAGAGTGTTGGTAAGATGACAATTAGTTAACATCTTGACATTAGTTATAGTAGGATTTATCATCTTTAATATCCTTCCTTGAATATTAATTAATTCCTATTCATATTTCATATTAATATTTTGAACATTACTTAAAGGATCAACTAGTTTTGTTTCATATATTAATTATTACTAGAAACGATCAACGAATCGATGGTTAATCGTTGATGGTTTCACAAGTAAGTAACTTCGGTTTATTAATGCACGGTCGTGGTTAATAAACTAAAGAGGATTTAATTTTGTTGGTTAAACTGATAGCCATTATATTTACTTGTGTTTAACATAAGTATTTATGAGTATTTGTTGAAGAAAAGAACAGAAATCGGGCAAATACCTCCTGAATGAGAGCTAGAGCATAAAACATTGTGATGCATGGCTTTTTAATTTGGACCAAGAGAATGACGTTCTGTCCATAATTCGAGTATAAATTATTGTAGAGAACTCGAAATCACTCGATTCGAGTTTCATGTGAATTCTAAATCAATAAGGTACAAATGTTATGAAGACGTCATGGCCAAAATATGAAGGGAACAAGACTCAATCAACCAACAAAGTCAGATGTTGCTGGTGGGATTTCAGGATGCATACCTCTCAGGGTTTTATCCATATCTTTTGATTGGATAAATAAAATCACCTCATTCAAGTTTTGGTGGATAGAAGACTTCATTAGATACAACTTTGATGAAGGACTCATGTCCAAATTAGTAGCGGAACATCCCTAAAATCCCAGGACAAAACCGGCGCCGGAATTTCACCAAACCGGCGCCGGAATTTCACTAAACCGGCGCCGGTTGCATTTAATCTGCCATTTTCCCGGTTGGCCGAAGTATAACCGGCGCCGGTTTTACCCTATAACCGGCGCCGATTATGGTGTTTTTCAGTATTATTCCATCCCCGAAATAATAAAACCGGCGCCGGTCAAGCCTAAAACCGGCGTCGGTTAAGCCCGAATCTGCAGAATATAAAGAGACGTGCAGCCATATCTTGATGGGAAAAACCCACTTTCCTTATGATCTGATCAAATATATCTTCCATGCTTGATTGTTGGGCTCGAATAGACTAAAAGATGCCAATTTTTAGCCTATATAAAGCCCCCAATTCATCAAACAAGATCGTCAATCCATCCTTGAAGCTTAAATTTCAGTTTTTATATTTTATTTTTGCATTCTCTTGAAGTGTTGGAGAAGAAGTCATTTCTCTCCTCTACAATTGGTTCTAGGTATTATTTCTTGTATGTTATTGTATTCCATTGTTCTTAGTTACACTTTTGTAATTAATATGAGCTCAAGGAGCTAAGTTCTTAGCTAAGGCTAGGGATGAACTTCTATGCCCACTAGGTGTTCGATAAAAGTTCTAAACCAATAAATTGTGATTTATCCTTTACATTTTGATTGTTTATGACTATGGTGTACAACATAGAAGTATGTTAAATTTAGTTTATACTTGCAATAAACGTTGAAGTCTAAACTATGAACATTAAAGGATAAACATATATATTACCGAGAATAGAAATATATCCGGTATTATATGATACGGGTGTGATGTCTTGATATTCAACGGGGTTTTCGGTAGATGAATGTAAGCCGTAACGGGACTTACACGTAACAAAAAGCACGCTCTCGCTGCCTTAACCGGAGTTGAGAATATATTAGCGACATCGTATTCATAATTATTGGTAAAGAACTAATATTCAACCCTATTAAAGCATTTAAGTGATTCCTGAAGCCTTGGCCGTTGTTATCATTCATTTTAAACCCGCATTAATTAAAGTTGTTTCCTTGAATTAAAAGTGAAAAGCCAAAAATACAAAACACAAATCAAAATCCCTGCACTTTACTCATTTATAAAACATGACTGTTGACATTTTTAGACCTCTGATACACGTGTAATTTCCGTATTTATGTTTGCAGTTTTAGTACCTTTTGTAGTTTAGCATTTCGGAAATTACACACTTTTGGTGTAATAGTTTAGTTTATTTTAATTCTTGTAAAATGTTTAGATTAGGTTTATTCTGGGCTCAAACAGGTCTGTCATCGCTCAAAGGATAGTTGGTGAACCCCAAAAGTGGAAAGAAGGTGCAAAAATCACAAGACAAAAAAGGAAATCCTGATTTTGTTCTATACTCGGTCGAGTATATACATATACTCGATCGAGTATCTGGTTGAAATTTCAAATCGGATCGGATCCGAAAACAAAAGAACATGCAGGAGAAGATTTTCCCACGATCGAGTGTCTATACCCGATCGGGTACACCGACATACTCGATCGGGTATAGCTATGGTTTTTACTCGAGTCTCGATCGAGTATGGACCGAATTCTAGTTTCTACACATACTCGATCGAGTATATGTATATACTCGATCGAGTACTCGACCTGCACCTCAAAAATCCTATAAATACACCTCCTTTCCTCCACTTTTAGACATCAATACCTTTATACTCTTAAGCTCAGTTTAGAATAGCATTTCTCTATATTTCTTTTAGCATGTTTAGTCTCCAAATGAGGAGCTAAACTTCCATTTCTTGGTATTGCTCTTGAAGCTTGTTGATTATTAAAGTTGTGAGTATTTTTCTTAACTTCTTTCCTTGAATATTAATTCTTCCTTCAAATACTATTTCTATATCAATGTTGGGGAGTGTTGCTAGGATGACAATTAGTTAACATCTTGACATTGGTCCTAGTAATAGCTATTTCTTCCTCTATGTTAATATTGGGGAGTGTTACTAAGATGACAATTAGTTAACATCTTGATATTTAACTATAGTAGGATTCATTTCCTTTAATATTCTTCCTTGAGTATTAATTAATTCCTATTCATATTTCATATTAATATTTTGAACATTACTTAAAGGATCAACTAGTTTTGTTTCATATATTAATTATTACTAGAAATTATCAACGAACCGATGGTTAATCGTTGATAGTTTCATAAGTAAGTAACTTCGGTTTATTAATGCACGGTCGTGGTTAATAAACTTAAGAGGGATTAATTTTGTTGGTTAAACCGAAACCGTTGTGTTAAGGTTATCAATCTCAATTGATTTCATCAAGGAGTTAAAAGATTAAATGCTACTATCAAGTCGGTATATGGCGTTGTTCTATACTTGACTAATAGTAAGGGTTATTAATGAACGGTCGTTGTTAATAACTATCCTCGATGAATTGGATATACTCCTCGATTGAGTATTCGAGAGGAGATAAGTTATAGATATAACAATGATCGACTAAAATATATCAGCAAGTGGAAAGTAGCAATGCCAAGTCACTTTTATCTTTGAATTAAACCCCATATAACTCGTTCATCTTCGTGTTTAATCACATCAACAATCAAAACCCCCCTTTACTTACTATTTATATAAAAAGAAAGTTATTCCTTTCCCTGTGGATACGAACTCTACTTCACCTATACTACGTATAAGTGTTAGTATTGAATTTATTTTGAGTGAACTCACGACAAAGTGCACGTCAAATTTGGCGCCGTTGCCGGGGAAAGGCAATTTATTTTTCTTTTTATTTCAATTTAAAGAAAAAGAAAAAAAATATGGTTCAAGTATAAAGATTTCTATTTCTGCTGAGCTTTGTAGTACATGGTAAAATATCGTTCACTGAACGAAATCACATACCACTCAAACCCCGAAATAGAACGAACTCTCGAGCGATTGAAAAACAAATTTTCAAACTCCGACTCGGGAGAATCATCAAGTGCTAGTT